AAAGGCAAAGACACAAAAACGGAGACAGTCCCTGAAGAGCTTCCAACCCAAGAGGGTATCTGTGCTACAGTCGGCGGGTGACTGCAGCACCAGTAGCCAGCCCCACACGAGTGCAGCTAAAAGCAGCAGTGTGGCTGGGGTGGAACAGCTGCAGCATGGTCTAGGCTTGGTGAAGCTCTGGGTACTGGGCAGGCTTATGTGTATAGACATCCCCTAAAAGGACAAAAGGTGAACAAGGAAACAGGCACAGCAAATGACTTGCCAAAGGTCAGATAACTGATCGGTGGCAGAGGGGGCAACAGACTCCATGGCTCCAGATTTCCAATCTATTGCATCCCACCTCTTCTGCCATCCTCCCATCTAATCAACATGCTCCAGCAAAAGTCCTCTCTGTCCCGCCTTTCCCCATCCTTGCAGTCCCCAGTCAAAAACGCCTCTGCTGCTTTTCCCCTCCCACTGCCCATCCCTCCTCCCTCCGCTAGATCCGATCCTGTCATTACCCCCCGCTGCAAGAACTGCTCTCTCCCTCGGCTTTCTCGGCCCTGCTCCGCCGCCTGTGAAATCGCCCCAAAGCGGCCGTGCTGGAACAATGTGTATAGTGGGGATGCTGAGAGCCATTGAATCAAACGAAATCCTCTACAATGGGAAACACTTCAAGGTGCCGCAGCATCCCCCACTCCTAGTTTCAGCACTTACGTTTCAAAGAGCCTCTCCCTCCCATTTCTCCCGATCCCTCACATCTGCTCCTCAATAGGCCCTTCCCCAGTTCTTAAAACCTACTTCCCATTTCTTTCAAATTTCCTGGACCCGGTTAATACAGGACAGCCATACTGGATCAGACCATGTAGTCCAGTATCCTGTCTCAGCAGGAGTAAGAGCCCTTGTCAGTGGAGGAGACAGACTCCCCGAGCCCCTGGGCAATCTGTATCGAGGGAGGAGGGTGCTCCATGCTACCTGAAGGAGTGGGGCCAAAGGCAGCTGGCCCTCAGTTCTGCCCAGAGCACCACATGCTTCCAATGCAGCTCTTAGCACAGCTCAGAGTGCAGGGCCTTGTGATCTGGCAGCAATTTAAAGGGATCAGAGTGCTGGCCTCTGCTGCCACTGGATTGCCATTCCCTCTACACCCCCCTCCCCAAAACACACACACACACCTTGGTGAGCCTGACCCTGCTGTAGGTCTACATGAGGGCAGGTCTTTCCACAGACATCTCATCCTCATTTCTCATACTTGATGACTTGGGACACAAAGTTTAATATCCCATCCAAATGTTTTATTGCTATTAAGCTTTCTTTTATTAAACTTCCTTCATCCCATGTTTCTCTTGAGCAAAGGTAAATTCTATGGCTGTGTCTAGACTGGCCAGTTTTTCCAGATAATCAGCCGCTTTTCCGGAAAAACTTGCCAGCTGTCTACACTGGCCGCTTGAATTTCCGCAAAAGCACTGACTTCCTACTGTAAGAAATCAGTACTTTTTGCGGAAATACTATGCTGCTCCCGTTCGGGCAAAAGTCCCTTTTGCACAAAACTTTTGGGCAAAAGGGCCAGTGTAGACAGCTGAGATTTGTTTTCCACAAAAAAGCCCCAATCGCGAAAATGGCGATCGGGGCTTTTTTGCGCAAAAGCATGTCTAGATTGGCCACGGACGCTTTTCTGCAAAAAGTGGTTTTGTGGAAAAGCGACTGTGCCAATCTAGACACTCTGTTCCAAAAATGCTTTTAACGGAACACTTTTCTGTTAAAAGCATTTGTGGAAAATCATGCCAGTCTAGACGTAGCCTATTTGTACAACAGACTCCTATGCACTTCTGTATTGAAACTGTGCACAGAGATGTGACTCTAAAAATAATTTTAGATCCATATTAATCTAGTGCTGGGGAAAAGTGCTGAATTAACAGACCAGGGAACTATTTCCAGCAGGGAGTGGCAGTTCAATCCCTTGGCAGCTCTACTAACAGTCGTGGTGGTAGGTTTTGCAATGTGAACACTGACTTGGCCAAAGAGAAGGACTAAGAACTCGAAACTCCTTTCACAAAGGCCACAATTCCATTGAAATTGTGATTATGATTCCATTATGATTTAATGTTAAATAACTCAGAATGTGGTCAAATAATTTCAAAGGAAATTCCAATAAAGATAATACCTATGAAACATGCACATTACCTGATGTAAGTTAAGAGCCTGACAAATCTATTGAAAAGGACACCTGTTACCCGGCAAATTAAATATATTTTAGAATTATAAAAGCTGGAAAAAAATGTGTTTGTCCTTTAAAGCATGGCTCACTATTTAAATCTGCAATCTCTGCAGTCAATGGACTGACAAGTTCTAGGTGCTGAGAAGATATCTGTAGATCTCAACTGCAGATTGTTTTGTATCCTACTGGAAGGAGACAAATGTGATTGTCTTCTGAAAGAATTACAGAATTAGTGGGTGAAGGGAGGTAGTACATCCACATGGCATAGCCTTGAATATTATTAATACATTTTAGACTATGAAAATCACTAGAAAAAAAACAATTCGAGTTGACTTGGGAAACTTTGTAGACCAAAATCTGCTAACAACTCTATATAAAGAAAGAAAGACAGCAATGCAATGCATTTAGGGTCAAGATATTGTATAGGCTACAGGAACCACAACTAGGGATGGTCTTACTTAAGATCTTCATTATATAAAAGAAGGAATTAATAGGATACGAATTAATAGTATTTATAGATTATATTACATTGACATAATCTAGAGAGACTGGACATGCACGGAACAACAGCATGAGCTTTAATTGGGAAAATAAGAGACTTCTATGTTTTCTGCATAATAAAACTCATAAATTCGCATATTGTGTGAATCACAGAAGAAACTACTTCTAATCCCAGTCTCTTCTGCCCTATGCTCTGCACCTTTGAAAATTAACCCATTAATTTCTTGATGCTTCGTTTTTCTGTGCAGGCGCACCCTAGGCAAGGCGCCGGGGCCATAGAAGGACCTGTCTCCCGAACAGCCAGCCCTGGTCTTGGAGGAACTCACGAGAGCCGCTGCAGCTCTTCGTGGCACTGCCACCTTCCCTGAATGAGATTCGAACCGGTAAATGCACGTGGCGCTTTACCTGCCCGGCCCGGCATCACCTAGGCTACTCGCAGAAGCATTGCGTAGGCTGAGATAGCCTCTCAGGTGCCGCTTGCCGATGGAATGTTCCATTGGATTAAATGCGGGGGGGGGGAGGGGAAGAGAAACAGAAGTGAAAGGATTTGAAGTCCGAGGTCAGTTCCCGTATCTAGTATGCAGTCAGCGCATCTTGTTTCCGGGTCCGTTGAAACTCAACTGCCCGATCTGGCTGTTGTCTCATTCCATCCTTTCCTAAGTTGGTACATCCCACCTCTGTCACACAGCCGACTACGGATGCTTGGAAGGCCCTGTATCCTCCGTCCCGTCGGCGGCGCGTCCCCTCCCTTTTCCCTCAGCTCAGCTGGCTTCGTCAGCGCTGCCAGCGTGGAGCTGGCCGGCCGGCCGAGAAGGCGGAAGTGCCCGGAGGGGAGGAGTCGTGCTACCAAGCCCGCGCCCGGCCATGGAGAGCTCCCTGGAGAAGGTCTGTGGGTGCGGGAGGGGGCAGGGCTGAGGTGCCAGGCCCAGGGGGGTGGGTGTGGGTTGGTTGGGGGGGGGGGGGGGAGATGGGGCCCTGCTGGGGGACACTCAGTGAGTAGTAGAAGAGCCTGGTAGGTAAGGGGAAAGTGCTACCGTTTGTAGAGTTTTATCGTGCAAGCCACAGAAAAAACATCCTGGGTTTCCAGGTTTATGGTGAATGAAGGGAAGGTGGAGTGAGGATCCCCAACTCTCAGCTCCTGCAATTAAATATAAAACAAATAATGTATTTAGGCCCTGCTGGGGGACACTCAGTGAGTAGTAGAAGAGCCTGGTAGGTAAGGGGAAAGTGCTACCGTTTGTAGAGTTTTATCGTGCAAGCCACAGAAAAAACATCCTGGGTTTCCAGGTTTATGGTGAATGAAGGGAAGGTGGAGTGAGGATCCCCAACTCTCAGCTCCTGCAATTAAATATAAAACAAATAATGTATTTACAAGTAAGAAGCAAGCCAGGGCTCATCTTTCATTCTCCCTTCAACAACTATGTTTGAAGAAGAGGGGATTAACTTGGTGACTGTGGTTCAGTGTTTCCTTGTTCTGGGTGTCAGGTGGTCTGATGTCACAGGATCCTTTATGGTGTCTCAGAGCTACCTAGCCCTTCTCAGTGGAGAAAGGGTGCAGGATATGTGTCTGAGCATACTTAAGAACAGTGGTTGTAATCTTTTCAAACTACTGTATCCCTTTCAGGAATCTGATTTGTCTCATGTACTCCAGGTTTAACCTCACTTCTGAATACTTGCTTATTAAATAAAAAATATTTTAAAAAGTCACAGCTACTGAAAAATTACTTACTTTCTCATTTCGATTATATGATTATAAATCAATTTAAATATAGTACTTGCATTTCAACATGTCTGTGTGTGTGTGCCTACACACACAAGCAGCAGGTGAGGCCGGTCGTTGATGGGGCAAAGTCATTTTGCATAGATCACACTTATGGGGAAAGTTCAAGGAATTAAATATGTGCAATATAATTTTTTATTAATGTGCTTGCAAAAGGGAAGTGAAAGAACAGTGTTAAATTTGTAGGATTTCAACTTCAAACATTATTAATTTTATTGAATAATTACCATACATTAGTACATTTGAATCAGAAACTCGTAAAGCTCCCATTGCTCTTTCCATAACTAATTTGAATTATTTTGTGATTTGTAACAGAGAAAAGTTTCTTTGCACTAAAATGCAGGTTAAATAGGTGATTCAATTTTAATTTTGTTAGCAAATATTTTTATGAACTAATCATAATAGTCATGACTTTTTTTCCATATTCTGGTATAAAAAGTAGTGCATTCAACTAATTTAAGTTACAAGATTGTTTATGCAAAATTTGGTATCTGTAAGTAATTCCGAAGTATGACTATTTTGCAAAACAAATCCACAAAAATACTCTTCAAAATGTATCATTTATGTATATAATGTGCACACACACATATGCATCTACATAAAATCAGTATAAACAAGTCATACTCTGTATGAAATTTTAGTTTGTACTTCATTTGCTAGTCTTTTTATGTAGCCTGTTGTAATACAAGACAGATATCTAGATGAGTTAATGTATCCCTTAAAAGACCTCTGCATGTCTCTATGGATACGGGTACCCCGGGTTGAGGACCACTGCTTTAGAAGGGACCACCTCAAACAAGAAATCATCACATACTCCCACAAACTGATGGAAAATATTAGGAAACATACCTGAAGATGATGTAAGAAACACTAAACAAGACTTGTCTCTCTCCTGAGTCTAATGCCTTTGCAAACAACGTTAGAATGAAGGGTCTGTTCATGTCACAAAGAACTTAGTCACAGACAAAACAAAACAGTTTCCAGCCATGATTCTGAGAGTTCAAAACACTTGTGATTCTGCTTATGTTTTGAGATACTTTTCAGTGTTCCCCCTTTGGGAAAAGAACCTGTGCAGATAAAAAGAAGTGGTGCTTTTTTCCAGAGAATGTTGATCTTGAAGAACAGGATAGTGGTGAGAATGTTAATCTCTTTACCCTTATGCACTTGATTTTTTTTCCTTTTCATACTTCCTGTTCTTTTGAACAAACAAGTGTAAACCCTATAAAGCCCACAAGTCACTAGTATACAATCCTGTCCTGTGGCCTTGACCACAGTCTTTAAGTGAGTCCCTAAAGCAGTGTTTCTCAACCAGGAGTCCAGGGCTTCCTGAGGAAGAAGACATGAGCAGGTTTTAGGGGTTCAGCCAAAATAAACCATAAAGTGGCGTCAACATTAGACTAGCTGGGGCTCAGGGCAGAAAGCTAGGGCTGAGGCCAAGCTTGGCTTTGTGGAACTGTGAACTCCCTGTTGTGTGAGACTACAGGCAATTGCTCTCTTTGTTACCTCAAAATGCCAGCTTTGGTTTTAATCTACTAGATATGAAGAAAAAAAACAGTTATTGTGGTAGAGGTGTGCCATGGATGTTTTTGTAGAATGTGTGGGGGGCTCAGATATAAAAAAGGTTGAGAATTCCTGTTCTAGACAACTAGTGTAGAGTTGATGCTCATGGTACATGAAACACCATTGAAATACAGCAGGTTCTGGAATGGAGGAGGAGACCTGTTCTACAAGTCACAAGGGAGTAATTGTATTACAAGTTTAACCAGGTGTCTTCATACCATTCATTGATATTTATCATCAGTTTTTACATATCTTTATTAAGAATATTATATATTTTACATGCAGTTATGAAAAGCATAGGCAGTTTTATACATTATATATTTACACAACACTGTAAGTGTGATATTTCAGTTTTATAGCTTGTTTGGGTATCAGCTAGGTGAGTAAGGTAGTGAAAGCCAAAACATACCTTAGTGCTGTTTGCTAAGTGTTCATTTCCCACAGTTTGACTAGATTTTAAAATCTGTGAGGAGAGTATTATCATGATGAAGGGTATGTAATGAGACCAGAGAGTTCAATATATTTACTCAATAGTGCTAATAAAAATTACAGTAGTTGATCTTGGTTCTAGGAATTTAAATTGCTTGAATGACATTTAATTACAGCTGCTAGTTTATAATGCCATTTACTTTCTGCCTGAGACTAGTTGACTGCATAGTAAACTATGCAGTTATTTAAATGTGACACATTATGACAGGAGTTTTCTTCACTTTTTGTAAATTCATTACTACACTACTTCCAAACAAATGGAAAACTTTTTAAATCTTTATTTTATTATGCTACCGTAGTAGAACCATAGAAAGCATAGTTTGAAGGTTAAATGTTGAAAGCTGCCCTAAGGAGAAGGTTAGTGTTTCTTCTGTGTTTGTTTTACATACACTGAGAGAAAGCACCATGTTACAAAAGGTATAGTAATTAACTCCTCATAGAGGACCCTAAAATTAGCTAGGATCAGCTAGTTCATTTTTAAACATATCCATCCATACCTACATTATGGTCAGAATCATGTTTAATATTGTGTTACCACAATGTTTTGGGGCTTTTTTTCAGAATAAACCTGGCTTAGGAAACTAATGCTCAGATCCTATAAAGAATTATGCTTATACTTAATTATGTACAAACATATTTCCAAATCCTTCTGAAATTTTTCTATTATACATGGAAAAAATAGATAGATATGGAGTGTCATACTCCAGGCTTCTTCCTCTTTTGCATGAGTTGGTATTTTTTAAGGTGAAAGCCCTTCAGTCTTACATGAAAAACTCTTGTATTCCCTGACGTAAAACTTGCTGCCCATTTTAGGAAAACTTCCCAATGTCCACATAGCTAGAGAAGTAAAAAAATGGTGAATGAACAATTTGTATGTGCACCTCTTTGGGTGTAATGGTAAATAGTTGTTAAAAACATTAGAGTTGATAAGAACATAACGGCTATACCGGGTCAGACCAAAGATCTGTCCAGCCCAAGTATCCTGTTTGCCGACAGTGGCCAATACCAGATGTCCCAGAGGGAGGGATCACAACAGGTAATCCTCACATGATCCCTCCTCTGTCACCCACCTCCAGAGAAACAGGGGCTGGGGATACCATTCCTACCCATCCTGATAAAAAAAACCTTTATTTTTTTTAATGAAAGATACACTTTCTGCAGTAAACTTTCACCAAAAAATATTCCATTTTATGATCATCACTCACATAGATAATATGGTAGTGCTTACATGCTCTAGTCTTATTTGTGAAAGGCAATGTACAAATACAGATGAATCTCAAAGGCCAGATGAACAAACTTTAAGAAACAAGTATACAGAAATTATACCTTATATAGAAGATCAATATAGAATATCAGACACAACGTACAGTATCAGATAAATACACTTTGAGGATGAGCTTTAATTCCTCAAAAGACTGGAAGGAATTCTCTTACATCTATCATAAGGCATGTGGTGTAATTTGTATTAATTTTAACTAAGAGCCACATTTCCTGAAACATTTGCTGTTTGGAACCTCCCAAGAAGTTGAGGTTAAACTTGGAAACCTGCAGTGGGTTTCAAAAATTGTCTAACACAAATTTGTAACTTTTTTCCAATGCTGTCCTCAAAATTAACCTTGCTATAGCTTCAGTTGTGACAGGTAGCTCTTATGGGATTTGCACCTTCCTCTGTAGCTTCAGAGTAGATTGGTCAGTGATCTGTAAATATGTAACAACTTCTGTATAGATTGGCTCACTGTTTCCCTAAACATAGAAAATCTGTTTGTTTCATGTCCATCCTGTGACTTTTGGTGCTTATTTAGTTACTGTTATTTACTAAAACATCTTGCTAACTTTTGCTGAAAACTTCTTATCACAGAACATAATAAGAAAATAGGGACCAAAAACTCCAAAATACACATAAGTAAAAGCAAAAAAGGTATGAACGAGCTCTAATTATGAAGTAGATACAATGTTCTTGTTTTCCCCTCTTCCACTCCCATTTCCTTGTAAGCAATTTTTCATGTACTTGCTTTGGTGACCAACTTGACTTGGTCTAGGGAACAAACCTTCAGGA